ATATTTCACACACTATAAAAGAACGTCCGCATATTTTCTCCATCATTTAAATCTCACTGTTATTTAGAACATTAGTAACTTGTGACTGGATATCATCTGTGCAATGTCGCCACAATCTGCTGGAGAATTTTGTTCATAGAGTTTGTACGTAGACAGCTGTCCTCGTGGGTTAGTAGCCTGTTTCTACTGTAATCATTTTCAATAATTGTGCTCAGGTCACCGGTTGGTTGTCCATAGTCTTAACAGGGGGTGTTTCTGGTACAGACTAAAATATGGATCCAGTGTATTTGGAGATTCCCCTAATTTGTAAATCCCTATCACTTACATATCCCGATCACTTAAACTCATCTCATCATTTCATACAAAAACTGCATAGGGGGGGTGAATCATCTTGATGATAACCCCCTCACCTTTGGGAACGAGTATTTCTAACTCCTCTTGTTGCTCAGCTGATCTTTTGGCTCTGGGGATAAGTGAAAGTCTCTTGAAACACAGCTGGAGTTTTGTTAGTGATGTGGGCATTTTCTATGAGTGAACTAATGGATCCATGTCTTTCATGATATTGTACTCCCCATCCAACCAGAAAGGTGCCAAATGTAATGAACCTAATCAACAATGCTATTCTGACTCTTATCCCTAGGGGACCCCACAATTGCTTTGGCTTTGTTCTTGACATAATCTCTATTTTATCCATGGTTGTGTCAGTTATAGAATTTAAATAATGAGTACAAAAATAACGTACACAAAAATAGAAACACAAATGTGGACTCTTTTCAGGTGTAAAACAAAAAGTAAGTTTTCACTTTAGTGTACAATCTATATAAATCTGAAGACAATTCGTCTTTTGAGCTGTTTCTATCTTAATCTTATTTCTATTTATTGTTTTGTTCCAGCTCTGCCAAATCAGTCCTAACTTCCAATAATTTTCTGGAAGTTGCCAGTGAAGGGTGACAATGTGTGAGGTGGTGTCAATTTGCTCCTTTTTCTTTACCTTTAAACCGGAGCGCGTGTGAAGTTCGTTACAACTTGTCACGGTTCCGACCACCGGGGATCAGCCCACTGTCTTTTGTGAACTTTCACCCTCACCCAATCACCTGGCCGAACAGGAGTCTCTTCTGGTGTCTCGTTTGGTATCTCTGTAGTTTTCCTAGCCTGTGTAGACAAAACTTGGATAATATTACTCAGAGTTCTGACATAATCATCCACTTCTATTTGTCTAATATCTAAAACTGGACCACTCCCTCCTTGGAGGAGGCCCAAGCTTTGGCATACCTTTCGCCCCCCAAAATGTCTGTACACGTCCCTGTCTGTTGCTGTTGTGCTTCTGCCGTTGGTCGGACACCGTTTACTATTAAGCTGTGAAGGAAGGAGAGGGAGTCCAACTGTATTGCGGGTCATTAGATCCCATTGTAGGCAGCTGCTCCTAGCATCAACAATAGTCTGTGTGTGTGTGTGTGTGTGTGTGTGTGTGTGTGTGTGTGTGTGTGTGTGTGTGTGTATGTGTGTCCCTTCAACCTGCAGGACCAATTGGGTAGAAACAGCAAAGTGATGGGCCTCCTATGACCACTTAAAAATACAAAACCACAATCACATTGATACACACATAGGGCACACACATTGGCCTAATTAAAGCTGACAGAAGAGCAGAAAGGGCTTATGCAAAGATTGGCAGGAAAAAAGGGGGAGGGGACTTGGCGCAGAGAAGCAAGATAAAAAATGCTGAGGTGGAGGGTGATGAGAGAGCAAATGCGTTCTTTAAAGTTTCATGTAAAGTGAAGTGTTGGCAGAATGGTGACCTGCTTCTTGAGCCATTTCCCTCCTGTACAAATTGATGATACTTATATGTTCTTGAAAACACTTGTCATATTAATCTTGTGGGCTTTAACATTTCAGTTTGGACCTTTTAAAGTCTTGAAAAGTTGCTGCTTCATAATCATTGTACATCTCAGATTGGTCAAAAGGAGGGTCAATTTACAAGGTTTGATTTACAAATGTGCCCGTGATAAAAATGTTTATGGCTAATATGTGGTTACATTTATCAAATATTGGTAATACATGTCATTATATGCTCTCTGTCTATTGGTTATTGTAAAGTGACAATATTATGCAGGGGAAGGACTTACTATTATTCCAGAGAAAGATTCATCAGCTTAACTTAACAATTCCCAACATGTTGGAGTTCCTGAGAATTCTCAGTTCTTCTTTTCCACTCCCTCTTTACACCACACACACACACACACACACACACACACACACACACACACCACACACACACACACACACACACACACACACACACACACACACACACACACACACACACACACACACACACACACACACACACACACACACACACACACACACACACACACACACACACACACACACGCACACACGCACACACACACACAGGTCCGCCCATACAGTTGGTGTATGTTTCTGATACAAATTGCCTTGCCAAAAATCTTCATGAGTTACAACTGATTTATTCCCTGCAGCAGGTTTCCAAAGGACCACAACAGGTAAGTGAATATCTAATATTGTTTTTTTGTTAAATCGATAGGATCAAAAGTGGTGAAGAGGAAAATACAGACATACCTAATTTAAAAAAAGAATGTTAACGAGAACATGTGCTTGTTAACAAGTTGAACTCAATTCTTACAGATCCTGTTAAATTTAAACATTTGTACTTTTACTTTTAAAGGCAGTAAAACTACAGTCTGTATATCTGTGTGTGGAACCATATATTTCTTTCTAATCTGATCAACCTCACACTTGAGGTGTAAGGCTAAGGATCATAGGAAGTGTTGCGTTGAGTTTGAAAATGTTTGGATGAGCGGTTCTCGAGAAGCTGCAAGCAGAATTACCTGAGCCTAAGCATTCTGCCTCAGGGTCACTGTGCATGAGCCACTAGAATCTGATAACTAAAAAGTGAATGTGTGTGTTGTGAGGACAGAAATGTACAGTATGTTGTTGTGCTTGGTATTTGCCCAAAGAAAATGTATTGATATTCAAATGATTTCCAAATGACAGATACACTGAGTTGAAACTGTGAAACAAAATCATGGGAAGCAAGGTTTCCACTACCAAGAAGAAGCAACAAAAGACAAAGGAAAGGTGAGACTCAGATTAGGCCCTTTCACACCAAGTACTTTTCCCAGGAATAGTTCCCGGAACTTTTCCCCGGAACTTTTATTTCCTGTAACTATCTAGTAAATCGCGTTCACACCGGAATAAGTCCCTGAGGGAGCCGCTGACGTCACTTCTTCTTTTTCTGCTTTGGGTTTACTGGCAGGCCGCAAACAACTTCACGACGTATACTGCCACCCGAAGTCCCCGGCCGGAAGTCCCCGGAGTTGGGGACTGGCTTCAGTAGAAGCTGCTGGGACTCCCAGCTTCAACTCCACCGCTCCCATGTTTTATTTTGTGTTGCCATAAGTTAGTCTCTATGCTAATGCTAATAATGCTAATGCGAGCAAATAAAATGGCGGCTTCACAAAAACTTTTCTGAGTTTTACGGGGCGTGGTTTGCAATTCGCCCAGCCAATCAGAAATTGGAACCTTTTCCTCCCCAGGAAAGTCCCTGCTCCCTAGCAGGGACTAAAAAGGGGTGAAAAGGTTCGCAAAAAAAGTTCTAGTTAGTTCCAGATCTTTTTGGTGTGAACGCAAAATCCCAGGAACTATCGGAACTATTCCTGGGAAAAGTACTCCGGTGTGAAAGCGCCTATTGACACTAAAACTGTATTAAAAAACTGCATTTAAATCTGCATATTGATAATCATAGTAACTTATACCTTTCAATTATAAGCTTTGTTAACTCTGTTGTTTTTGTCATTTGTCAGATCTGGGATTTTAAGAAGTTTTAGTTCTTCTGTGAGGAAGAACACAGGTGAGTTCAAATCAATAGCTTGAGGGGCAAAGCTTGATTTCCATTGGTAATCAGAAAATGCCAAACAATGTGCATGCTCATTTTTTTCTGCTGCATGCTTGCAACAGGTAACCGTGATGCAAATATGAATTAACGTGATATAATGTGTTTGTCATCCTTTTAAAAGAGGCTGAGTGGGTGGACAACAACAGGTCTAAGCTCATTCAGAATGTCGTCCTTGTGATGCCAATTGCTGATGAGTTGCTTCAGCGGAATGTCATACGAAGTGAGATGTATGCCAACATTGAGACTTGCCGAACCAGCCACGAGCAGATGAGGGGTCTCTACAAAGCCCTCACTACTGTAAAAGCCAAATGTGCCTTCTATAAAATCCTCAAGGAAAACCAGCCAGAGCTATGTGACAGTAAGTAAAGACGTTTCATTAGTTGTCTATAAAATTATGATCATGTCTAAGTGAGTTATCTAAATAATTATGAGTTTAAAAACTATAATGGTTAGCGTGGTAATCAAGAGAATTGTGAAAACATTTCCAGTCTTTTAAATGAAACAGCTTTGTGATAAAACAACATCAAATGAACTATACAGTTTAAAATGGCTGTGCTCAATATACTGCCTTGAATAGGCTTTGACTTCAAGTTTCAAAGGCTTCATAATATTCACAGTATAGCTACAGTGTAGATAGGGCAATGCAAATCTTAAGTGCCAAGCTCCTCCAACGATGCAACATACGTCATTAATTACCAATGTGAAAGTAATGCAGACGAAGTAAACTATATACATGTCAAAAATAATAATACAATAAGAAAAATGATGCAGAGAATGTTGCAAGTGAAGTAATTGTAATCACTTTATTGTTTCATTGCAGTAGAGGAAGCCACCGAAAAGCCCAAAGCATTTGGGAGGAAACAGAACAAAGATGATTTGGAAGGCCCTGATAAAGGTGGCAGGGTTACACGGTCATTGGACAAACCAAACGTCTTCAAGAAGAAGGAGAACATATCAAGCGAACACTTGGAAAGGGTGAAGAGTTTATCAGCTCAGGGGGAGAGTAAAATTAATTTCAATGGCATTTTTAGTTGCGGGAGAGGGGGACACAGGAATTCTCTTTAGCAAGAAAGGAGGATGGTTGGTTCTGGACAGTTTCTAAAGTGGCATTGTGTATAGGCTAAGTCTAAGGTGCAGGGTCTCCCAAACAACATCTCTGTGTAGTCTTTCTGCTGTTGAGAGCACAAGTCATCCTACTGCTTCATTTTCAGTATTGGGTCCCCCAGGGATTTATTTTAGGACCACTTCTCTTTATACTGTACATAAATGATTTTGTAAATTCCTCTAATGTTCAACACAAAGTCTTATTTGCTGTTGGTACACACATATTTGTTTCTCATAAGAAATGTAAATCTGCAAAATAGTCTCCATGAGGAACTTACAAAGGTTACCACATTGCTTAAAGCAATAATACACTATATTACATGCACTAACGCTGACTGAATGTAATATCTTTCCCTGTTTTAATTATAATACCTCTACATAGCTCTTGCTAGGGACTTCAAAACAAGTGATCGTACTCTTAAATGCATTTATTTTTCATGTCATATTTCTGTTTTTGTATTTTACCTGTAATGTTTTGACTGGCTTTCGGGCTTTAGTGTGATTTTCTAAGATCCTATATATCTAGTGTTTGGGCCCCTATTCTCAAACTTCCTCTAGCTTATCGGGTGTCCCATTTCACATATCTCAATGATGTCCTATGATTGTCTTTGTATTTTAACTGTTTGTGAATAAAATGAATTGAATTTTGCCCACCATCTCATTGACTATAAGGTAATAATTGTAAATCTTGACTAATTTACTGACATGATTTGGAAATATATGGCATTGACAAAGCTGCTTTTTCACCTATTGTCTCTACATTTCGACATCAGTGTGGACCACTTGATAAATGCTGATTTGACCTGAAGCTACTGAGAAAGTGTAGAGTATTATTTATTTATTGTTGAAATGCTAAAGATGTGACAATGCAATTAGCTTGCAGGGTCTAAAAATATCTTTCTAATCTAGATATCATGTTAACAGTTAAATGGATGGTTCTTATCTACATGTCACTGTGTTGCTAGCAATATTGTATAATATCAAAGTTAGTTTTTACTCAGTTAAACTGATCATTTGGTCTGTTTTAGGATACATTATCATTAAGAATGAGCATCTGTAATCTGGCAGAATTATGTATTTGTTCTATGAAGATATATCCATTTTAGGAATACATGATCTGCTCAAACAGCTAATCCAGAAAAAAGTTGTCTTTGATTCGAAACTCTACTTTTATGTCAAATTGTTTTAGATCACAAGTCAAATTGGCAAAGTGGAATTATCTATTTATTTATTTGTTAAATTAATGTAATGTTTTTCACCTGTGTACCAAAAGACTGAACAGAAATCAGGGGATTGCAAACATCTTTAAGGAGTTTGTTGCTGTGCTTGCATCCAAGCCATGCTCCTTACGAGAGCTGGAACTGAGTTACACCAGTTTAAAAGACTCAGAAATGGAGATCCTCTCTACTGGGCTGATGAGCACAAACTGTAACCTGGAGGTGTTGAAGTAAGGAAGTATGTTAATAAGCCCAATAATGTCTGAGAAAGTCAACTTCAACTAATTTTACATCGAAACAACTAAATTGTGAACATATTAGGTAACATATTATTATGTTAAGCAATTAAACAATATGTATACATTTGTCTTTCAGTCTCAGTCACAACAGACTCACTGAGAAAGGTTGTAAGATGTTGACCTCAGCACTCAGCTCCAAATCTTCCCGCCTGACAAAACTAGACCTGAGCTACAATGACCTGCGGCTGCGCGACTCAGGAGTGATGGCGCTCTGTTCTGCACTCACAAAACTACAATGTGGTTTGAAAACACTAAGGTAGTGTAATGTCTCAATTCTATTAGAAATGTATTCATCAAGACGTAATGCTTAGTTCTTGAGTATTTCTAGCCAAACAGCGTATGCAACGCTAACTTAGTAGCTAGGTGTCTAATGCTAATAAGCTGCTAAATTAATTATAAAAGACTTACAGGGCTTTACTACAGCGTAGTCCAGTTTGTTTAGGTATGTTCAGTAGCAAAGAACTGTCTTGCTTGCTAGTTAAGTTAGCCAAACTTTAAAGCTAACCTATAACCTAATATGCTTCCTTGTGGAACACCACAGCTCACTGGGAGGGGGGGGGACAGAGTACCGTTTACCTCCACCATCTGTTCTCTCCCCTCCAGGTAGGATTGCATCCAGCTCACCGATAGTTTATCAAAACCAATTGCTTTTAGCTTGTCAATCAGAATGGGGTGATTGACAGTGTCGAAAGCCTTGTGTAGGTCCAGCATCACCATGCCGCAGTACTTGCCCTCGTCCACCTCTTGTTTGATGTGGTCGCTCAAATAAAGAAGGCATGTGTCAGTGGAGTGGGATGTTCTAAAGCCAGATTGAAATTCATAGATTAGTTTCTTTTCCGCGAGGTACTTTTCGACCTGTTCATATACTATTTTTTCCATGACTTTCGAGATGGAGGTAAGTATAGAAACAGGGCGGTAGTTGCCTGGGTCCAATTTGCTGCCCTTTTTGTGCAGGGGGGTTACTCTTGCAATTTTGAAGTCTTTGGGTACTTTTCCCTGTTTTATGGAGAGGTTAATTATGTGAGCTATGACTGGTGAGATGGCGGTTGCTGTGTCTCTGAGGAATTTGGAGGGGATATTGTCGTGGCCAGTGGCCTTGTTAGGTTGGAGGGCGCTCAGTTTAATGAGTACCTCTGCTGTTGTTACCCTTGCTAGACTGAAATCATCTTTGCGTACCCCTAGGTTTTTGTAGTAGGTCATGATGTGATCTACTCCAAAAAGCCCTGCCAGGGACGCTGCTATCGATATTATTTCTGTTATGTTGTGTAACTGTTTAATGGTG